ACACACACACACACACACACACACACACACACCAACGTTAGAGCAGACATTCTGCCCGGTGCACAGAAAACACAACAGCACCTGCCTCACCTCTGGCCCAGGACACAGATATGAGGCTGAATCAAGCTTTGACGAATTATTAGAATTATGAGTGTCATTTTAGAGAAGTTTAAAGAAGTCGTAAACAGTATTAGACAAACAAAAACAGCACAAAAATGTGAACTAAAACTATAATGCAGGTTATGGACATGTTAAATTATTTGATCTAAAACAGTTTTCATAAAGGTTTTTCATAAATTGTGACTCCTCAGTAGACACAGTAACAGTGATGGAAAATGATGGCCCCTGAATGACTATATGGTTATATAACAACAACAACAACAACAACAATATCATCTTGACAATAATACATAGAGACCATCCTCCTGTGGGGTCACACCCGTCACAATGCCGATTAACATGTCGATATTCTGAACCATGCATACTTAACAGTCAATACTAATACTCAGTTGTTTTTCTAGAGAGGTCCAATATGTTTTAATACTTGTTCTTGTTGTTTATTTTCTATTTGTTGCATCTTAAGGGGCGCTGCTCATGCTGGCTGACCCGGCAGTTTCTCCCTCCTGTTTGGACGGGATGTCAATGGTTACTTTGTTGCTCTGTACTTATGTGCAATGACAATAAAGTTCTGATTCTGATTCTGATTGATATGTTGTGATTAGCTGCTACCTTGGCCAGGTCTCTCTAATAATGAAATGAATGAAATGAAAAATACTTTATTTATCTTTTTTTTTTTCATTTCATTTCATAAAATTTAATAAAACAGATTTTGAATCTTAATGGGATATTTTTAAATAATAATTTTTAAAAAATGCTCATTGGTTGAACCACACCCATCCGCCAAAAGCACTCCAAGCTGTTTCTGTGGTAGTTTCCACTGCAGGACCATAGTTTGCCATCATGACACACATATACGCACACAGACTCACAATGCCACAAGACAGTTTTAACGGCTACGTCATCATGGCACGGCTACCCAAATGTGGTTACAGTCATGAAAATGCACATCCTGTAAATATTGTCAGCTCTTTAAAAAAAAAAAATATGTAAACACACGACACATAAAATTGACATTTTGTTGATCTTTTCATATTTCATTGAGATACAAAGCAGCTCAGTCACATTGAGAACGTAAATCCACCCCTACACTCAGTGGTTCCAGATTAGGTGCCATTGATTCTTTAAAGAAGGTTCTGGTGTTGTCTTTGTGTTTTAAAGCAGATTGGATGAATGTGGGTGGCATTGGGGGGTCTTTCTGCGGCGCCTTTGAGGCCTCGGTTTGGCCTTCGGCTGCCTGTGAGCGGCGTCAGAGCCAAATATACAGCATCACATGATGACGTCACATTCTGATGGCGGGTGCTGCACTAGTATTGTGACACGTAAAGAGCAGGACTCCTCCTTTAATGAACCTTTATATCAAGTTTTTGGAAACTCAGTCATTTTAAATGATTTGAAACTGACGTCTGTGAAAAAACACGCACTGCTTTCTGTTCTGTCTACGTCTGTTTGGGTCTCATCAGAATGTGACGTCATACATTTGCAGACGATAATGTCGTCTAGCAAAGACGACAAAATAGACTCCAAATATACCATCCTGCAAACTCAGCATCACACTTGCAAAACACTGCAAAGTTTAAAGCAGATTGGATGGATGGCTGCTGTTAAAATGTATATATTTGTACACTTTAAATGTGTATATCTATGTGTTCTCTTGTTGTTTTTGTTTTCTACTGTACTATGATGTAATTCCAAATGAAGAAGATGAAATTTAAAACCTAGCTCCATCACCTTATTGTTGCTTAGTCAAGGGCAATTAGCATATTGGCTGTAGCTGGTGGAATTGTTGGAAAAGTAGGAAAGAACAAAAATAAACCCAAAATGAAAATAGCATTGTGTGACACATGGTGAGAACTAGGGGTGTCACAGTGCCTGTACTTATCCAGAACTGCTCAGTATGCATTGCTTTGAGATAAGACTTTCCTTGTTTGATAAAACCTGTGATCCAAACAATGACAAAAAAAACCAAAACTCTATTTATTGTATATCCAACATACTACATAAAAATATAGATTTGATCCTGTTCCACACAACAGATACTTGTGCTTCAACACCAAACAAACCTTAAAACTGCAACCTTGAGCAACAGAGAGACCCTTCAAAAATAACAAGCAGCAAGGAAAAAATAAAAAACTCTGCCCGAGAACAAGCCCTCCTTCTCGTTTCAAAAGCTGCTCTTCTTTCCTTTTTACAGCATCTCGTTCGATAGGAAAACAAACGGATGCATCCACATTGAAAAATACCATAACTTCATAGTACGATGCCGGATGAGCGCCTCAGCACGTAGGCGTGCGCGAGTCCGTCTCCTTCGCCTGCTGTTTGAGTATTTCTTGTGAGGAGGCAGATTCTAACAGCAGTGACTTACTTGTTCTACCTGGCTGCACACAGTATTGATTTGTGAGTCAGTGTTTCTGCGTGACGTCTTATAAATGGGATTGTAGCATAAAGCTGAGCATGAGTCTGTGTGTGCGTTAGTCTGCTTTGTGTGTGTTTGTTTTTTTGTATTTCCAACAGTCAGTAGGTGTTTTGAGGGAGGACGAGATGGAGATGCCTTCAGCCTTGATAGCAAAATACATCCCTCTTATTAACCTGCCATCCTCAATGTGTGTGAAAAAAACAAATTACCTACTTCCTAAATATGATCTGATGTCTACGTTTGACAAAGTGGTGTCGAACACGGGCCGATCATTAAGCGCAGCAACAACAAAGAAAGCAGGAGAAGACACATCATGAGCAAAACAGACGGTCAACATCGTGGCTGAGCACTGTGCTAATGACAGCAGTTGTAATACTACAAAAAAAAAAGCAACTCAGGAAGCAATTCTGATACACAGAGGTGAGTTTTTGGGGGGTTTAATCAATGACAGGAGAAGAAGTTTAAATATTTAACCTGCCTGGGTTCTGGGCCCGTACGCTGACTAAACAAGCTGAGCAAGCTCTAAAAACGAGGGCCGAGGACACAAGAGTCGCACGATGAATCTGGATAATGAGATGGCACAACGGTTAGGTTAATGAAAAGAATCCCAAATCCCCTCAGCAGGAGACACTGTATACAGGCTGTTATGCAGAGAACGCCTGAGCTGCCTGGAGCAGAAATAAAGGTTCGCGGGAGCAAATATCTGAGATGTCACAGAAGTTTGTTCTACACTGCATGTTAGGTAATTACCTGCTTTTAATATTCTACACCACGTCACCTAAACACCTCTCAAACATTAATTTTTGAAACTACCTTGGCGCCTCCAAGAAAATGTCTTCTCCTCATCTTGGCTTTGAGTATTTAATTGATTCTATTGATGTTTAATAGAAAACATGTGCTGCGATGTTGGTACTTTGGAAAATGCATGTGAAACATTAATCTTCCATCTTATTGGTGACTTTATTAATAGAACTCAACAGCAGTAAATGGATAAATTAAGCACTTCACGACCAGTACATGTGTTTAAAGCAGTTTCAAAACCTGATGTTAATAAATGCTGACAGTAAATTAAGCGCCCAGCAGTTTTAGAAGAGCTGAGCCGGAGCCCAGTAGCGTTTTGTACTAACGTCCGCTGTGTGTTTACCTTCATTAAATCGCGTGCAAATGACACCAGGCTGCTACAAGGTAAACCTCTACACACATTCTGCTGTTTATGCAGGACGCATCAGATTAGCAAACTTTCAGCGGTTTGCATCAGATTCTGTAGCGATTTAAAACCTCAGTACAACCGAGACGCCGTGAGTGGCTCAGATGTGACGACGATTCAGCAATTTTTTTAGCTGAACTACAGGTTGTTTCTACACGACGCTCCCTTATTTTGGAATCATTAAAGACAAACTGATTTTGGAAAATCTATCACCAGGGTTCATTTGAAGCATATTTTATTAGAAACCAGGCAGAATCCTGGTTTAATTGTAGCAACTGGACTTGCTTCTGTCCTCCTTGGCCTTGGGATTAGCAAGGGAGGACAGATGGTCTGGTAGAGGAGTGAAAGAAGCCATCTATGTCAAACTGGAAAGACCATCACCTCATCCACCAGAGGTGGAGGTCTGAGGCATCACCTCTCACCTGTTTACAGTGCAGTCCTAAGATCTCTCCTCAGGAAGATGAAACCACATTCACACCGAGCCACAAAACACCCTAATGACCCCCTTTGTGGCAGGGGGAGCACTAAGGACTCGCATAATGAGGGGGAGGAGCAACAAACCCCAACTGAAACCTAAACTCAAGTGTTCATGGCTCTTTAAGGTTATAGGTATCTGGAACTCCCAACTAGTCACTGATGAAGCCTCTTGGGTGAGAGGTGGAACGTCTTCAAGGAACTCAAGCAAGTCCAGTTGCTACGATTAAACTATGAGAATAACCATGACCTGGATGACTGAGAATCTTCACAGACAAACCAGGTAGAAGTTCTTAAAATGCATGAAGCAGCAAACACTTGTTAACTGATATTTGTACCGTATTTTGCCAAACAGTTTTCAATGAGATGGTTTCAACAGAGACTCTACTCAAAATCCACCCTTTCCTTTAAAATAGCTTATTAAATGTTCCTCGAATATTATTTTCCGCATTTTGAGGCAGAGTGAAACTGATTATTAGCTGATGGGAGTCTGTAACCTCCCTAATCCTGCATATGTCGACTTGCCCCCCCACTGCTAACGTTTCATAAATAAATCTCTAATCTGGTGAAGAAGCTGCTTATGACTCATGTCACTTACAAGGCCTATAAATAATCAACGCATATAAATACAAAATTAACAGAAATACCTCACAGGTTTGGGTGAAAAGCAGCCAAATCTAGTAGAATTATACAATCTCTAGCAAACACACACATTGTGCACTTTTAAACCTACTTTGCCACTTTGTTGATAACCGGCGCAAAGTTGGTGGGTCCGTACAGCTGCACCGTCCTCAGGCTCTGGAAATAGGCCTCCAGGACTCCCTCGATGCCCACACAGTTTGGATTATCGCCGTCCCCGCTCTGCAACAGACGACACAGTCGTGATGCACATTCCTCTGACGTAATAACAAAAGCAAGCAAAAGCAAACGTCTGTCCATCCAGGGCACATCATTTGTAATGCAACTAAACACATCTTAAATATTCTGCTATCGGTTATGATGCTATCTAATCCGTCTACATTTAATTAACCATTATCTGACACTCTGTATACAGGCAATAAGGTCTGCGTGGTACGACCGGCGGTTTAAAAAAAGAACAAGCAGAGGGTGTAAGAAGCAGTGTGAACTCAAAGAGGTGCTGACAAGGATTTATGACCTGCTGCGATGCTTCTTTCAGGGATGTCTTTTCCCTTCACAATTTCATTCAGAAAAGCTTGTAAGCTAGCCTTTAAATACTGGTTATATGCTGCACAGCATGGTCCCAGGTCAGGTTTGAGCGGAGCTGGAAATTCCCTCATAAGCAAGTATCCATACCAAATTTTGGATTATACATCTGTTTAGAATGTATAAATAACCCATCTGACATGACGAAATGGATGAATAACCCTTATGTAATGTTTCAGAGAGCAGGCAGAGGGTATTTTCTAGATTTGTTTTTGGAGATAAACATCTACTACCACATAACATCATGCCCTGTTTAACCTATGCCACAAAAACAAAGCAATGATTTAAATATATTCCACCAAAACTGGAATTTGCATGGGAAGTAGCCAGTCTCGTGGGTCTTGGAGTCATTTGAATGATATTTTCTGCTGCCATCCTGAAGCGAGGACCAGCTGGTCGTCTTGTTCTTCTGCATTAATGCCTCCCTTGCTACCTGCTCCTCTCCCTCAGAGTCATCTTCATCAGATGGGGCCGTAATCAGATTTTCCTCCATGTTGTCTTCCTGCGCCGAAGCATCCTCCCCCAAATCACTTCCTGCTTCCTCATCTTGCAAGATCAGATCAATGTTCTTTTGCACAGTGCTGCCACAACTTCAGCCACTGAGATGACAGCTTGGGTACCTCTCTGATCTTCTAGCGCCCCAACCTCTCCTCTAGTCTGTTCTGACCTCAGTTAGTTCGGAATTAATGGATTCAAATGAGTTTATTTTTAGAATATTTAGTCATATAGCAGGTGCTTCTTGCGACCATGTCATGCACCGTCTGACCTCGTATGTGCACCATATATGACCGTTCCTATGCGGTTTTTATCTGATGGCTCTTCAAACACCAACAGGTGCTGGTCTCTGTGGGAACCTGGGCACATGTGGTGAGAACGCAGGCAGGTCTCGTGACACAAGGTCCCCCTGAAATCTGTCACTTCCTGTCCCATAAGAAAGTGCACACAGTCATGGCCCGTACAGTTTCAAATGTTTCTTGATCCACACTGGAGGATCTACAACCCATTTTAATAGATGCGGGTCAAATCTGACCCAGAACAGACTCAATGTACAAAAAGTTGTTGCACCTGTACTCAAGTGTTTTTGTGTATTTTGGGTCACTTTTGGAAAAGTCATGAAATTTTAGACTCAACCAGTGACATTTAGGTTGTTTAAACTGCTGTAAGATGTCAAAATGAGTCGAATTTGACCCAACCAGTTTGTGAAGGTTAAAAGATTGTCTTGGCCAGCTGGGTGCCGTCTCCATTTACCAGCTTTCATGTGTGACTACTGTTCATTCTGGCAAAGAACTTCAATCTCCCTGGAGTCTATTGGTCAAACTGAAGAAGTGGTCAAACTGAGAGGTTTGTACCTTGTAGCAGAATTAGAGAACTGCGAAGCAACTTCAGGTTAAACTCTTGGTTTTTAACACTACAACGGTGGTTCACTGCTACATCAACACTTATGCTGCCCCCCTAACCCGCTCCAGGGCAGGTTATGTTCCAGATAACAGATCCCCTCGTGTGAAAACACTGCCTACTGATCAATCAGTTCTCTTGGAAAACGGCATAACCATTCCTAGAAGATCCCTGCTTGGCTCGGTGCACAGGGAGTGGAGGGTTTCTGAGGAGAGTTTTGAGAACTTTAAGCAGTTTCAAAGCCATTGGGTTGTTTTTTTACGAGCCTTTGTGGGGCGATGTAATCCTACAGCAGGTGTGCAGTAAGCATACTCATCTGTTTGAATGATGTTTTTATATTTGTTCTTTTCTTGAGCAGAAAAAGAACATTTAACGCTACGAGGGTTGCAACAGAAAGAATAAAACTTAAACTGTCTTACGCCCTATAAGAATGATTGAATGTGAGATTACTGACTTCATCCTCCACTTCACCATGAAAATAGCTTGATCTCGTGAGTAGCATAAAATGAATACATCTGTAATTCCGTGATACAATAAGAAACTTAAATCTAAGTAATGTATACACACCTGTAGCATCAATCAGATTGTGCCCTGTATGGTGCAGTGATATTAATAAGCTGAGTAATTCATGTTCACGCAGTGTTTTAGGCAGCTGTCCTCCACAGTTATGGCAGCGTCTGCACAGCTCGACAGTTATTATAGTTTTAGATTTCTCATATTGGTTCAGGAATAGATTTAGAAGGTTGAAAAATAGAAACAGAATTTGTTCTACTTGTGAGGAATGTGTGACGAATGGTCATCTGGTGCCAATGCCGGCCCTTTGATGTGAACATGTCTGACTAGATTAATTAAACCTGACAACAGTTGTTTGGATTTGTTAAGTCAGATAATAAAAAGATACCCTGGGTATGTTGAAGTTACCTCGTAGTGCAGGCTATTGGATGTACGCTTGGGAAACAATTGATTAAATGAACTTGAATATTTGAAGAAATCAGACATAATGGGTTTTGTTTTTGTTTAATGTTTCCTGCCTTGTTCTGCCTGTTAAGGCAGATGTAGTAATCCTGTGTTTCAAGGCACAGGCAGACACTTGGATACACCTCAGTTTAGCATCCAGCAATTTCTGACTGGTTGCCTGTGTCCCTCAGGAGGGCGCGAGGAGGAAGTGGAGGGGATGCTGGGAGGTTCCCGCTGGCTGGCAGATGAGCCAACTTCTCAACTTGTGCGACCAGCTGTTGTCGCAGCTACAACTCCAGGTCCAAACCACACCCTGCTATGGATGAACTGTGCATACGTGCCTTGTATGTGTAAACTGCTTGTGTTCATGTGTGTGTGAGAGTGTGTGTTTTACCAGTGGGAATGCGTGGGAGATTTTGCCGTCAGGGGGCAGCTTAGCTCCGAAGCCATAGGCAGGAAAGAGCTTGTCACTGTCGTAGTCCTGGATAATCTCTCCGACTGCTTTCAGGGCCATGGCATATGCGTTCATCTGGTAGGGGCTCATATAATGGAGGGAGGTGGGCTGGGATGGGTTACCTTGTGAGAAGACACACACACACACACACAATACAATGACATGAATGATAACATACCTTTGCCTCTTATCATTTTTACATTCTGTGAAATACAAGGAACTCTATATCATCAGAGGAATACCAAGAGATGATCAATGCCAGGAGAAATAGCATTTCTTACATTCCTTTTTAAAAATTTTTTTCCCCAAGATTCCCCAAGGTAGCGTGCAGCATTTGAATTTTTAATTTCAGCAGGGACGGGCTGTGTATGTGATGAATTATGTGAAGAAATGTAGCTGTAACTGTAAAAATCTGACAGTAGCAGGAAAGGAGACAAGATACTTTATCTCCTGAAATCAAAGAAACAGTGGAGTTATCATTTTATGTAATCCTGTTAATGCCTGCTACAAGCGCTGCAGTGTTGCCAGCACTATGCTTATTGCACACATGTAAGATTAGCCAAATGTGACTGAATGCCAGCTCTCTGTTCTCCCCTTGTTTTAAGAAGGTTTGAACTCTCTCGTCTGAAAGGAGTGCCCTGCTTTTAAAGGGGATGAAAGGAGGGGGAGTGATTTGATTAGCCACGAAAGATGCCTGCTTCCAACACACCCACTGATAATGTATTCCCCTTAATCCCATCGAGCTTCCAACAGCGCCGCAGGTGTACTGAGCGCCTCTGGCCATGAAAATACCAAACACACTCAGCATATCCTGTGCATCTTGCACGGGTGACTGCACGTTTCATCATGTGAAAATAAGAACCTGAATGTAACAATCTATTCAAGGCAGCGGTGTGCTCGACATCACAACTTCAAGTGCACCTGCCATGAAAAATGCAGGGTCACACTAAGTTACACAGTGGAAAAGGGACAAGTGCTTTTCACACCAAAGTGGTACATTTCAAAAGCAAACTCTTTCACGTCTGTACTAAAAAGTAAAAGTTTCACACAGAGAAAACTACAGGTATAACAACACAGTTAGGCATATAATTGGAACACATGCAAGTAAAGTGGAGTGAAGGTGCATTAAACACTAACCAAAAAAAAAAAGATTTTCCCACTAAGAGCCAAGCATACTGCTGGTTGAGCCATTTGTTTTGTTAGCTACTTATTTGCACCTTCACCAGCAGCTCAAGTGTCATGTTTTTTGTTGTTTTTTCGAACTAAATGGTCGTTTTCCACTGGTAGAATTTGCAGGGGGAACCTCAACTTAGTTATATTTTTGCCTGGAAAAATATCAAATGCGAGTGGGCCCAATCAGTTACCTTGTGGAACCCCACACTGTACCTGTCTCACACTAAACTGACAGTGGATTTGCAAGACTTGGCTTGGATATAGCTACTTTACAGCTACTGTTCTTGGAAAAACCTAAACACTGCATAATAATAAAAAAGTTTCCCCAGGAAAAAAAAAGAAAAAAGAATTATATATGAAGATTAATACCACAGTACAATGAGTAGGCAATTAGATTGTTGTTAGATTAGATAGCTCAACAAAGATTGGAAGCAAGGGAAAACAACTAGTCTGACTCAAAGCTCTTAAGCTCTCTATTAAACTAACAGGATACAAAGTACTCCCAATGCACTCTGCGGCAGTGCTTCCACCTAAATGCTTACAACTGAATGCACAATGCTAAAACTAAAATGTTAAGTGGGTGTGTTTACACCATGGTCACCACCTGAGTTTGGTAGCAAGGAAATGTTTGCTTATTAGCACTAAATACAAAATCTTGAATGTGTTTAGCAAATTTTACTGAAATCCTCCCAACATTTGATGAGACAACCAAAAATGCCAACTTGCATGTTGTCGAGAAAGAACAGGATCCACCACTTTCACCCCCGGGGGACTAATAACATTGACTGATTTTATTGTCAGTCTATCCAGTCGCCGTTGAGAGGGTTCACCACAACCTTGGCCTTCTGCAGGTGCTGGCAGAAAAGCCAGAGCTCACAAGCTGTCGTTCTCAGGCAAACATGGATAGCTGTATAAAAGTTCACGGTGATCCATCACATAGCTGTCATGTCAGCCTGGAACAGTGTTGGACTGGGACTAGGAATTGCCATTCGTAGCGCCATGCCAGCTGCAATGTCATTCTGTCAATGAGTTCCCCCAAAAGCCACCTTCAGATCAAGCCCTTCTTGTGCTAGTCAGACAGTAGAGGTGGCAGATAGATGGATGGTGGGGTTTGGGGAAACACTGGGTCAGATCACTGTCATGAAAACCTCACTTTGTTAATTCCTCTTAAACAGCATAAGTGCCAATCTTTATTAAACATTATTTAAGAGGACATACTTGAAAAAAATTAGCTGGCTCAGGTTGCAATTAAACCGTCGTGATGGCTCTTGCAAGCGGAACATCAGGTAATGCAAGCTACTTTGCAAGTTTTAATATATATAATGTCTGTGTATGTTTCAGTGCTATAGAATGTAAAAACTCCCTGGTAATTGAAGCATTAAAAAGACTGGTCCATGCATATTATTTAATCTGTATTAATACTCTCTCCTCCTTTAGTGGCAACGTGACACCACCATTCTTAAATGTGACAGCCTAGAGAGCCCTCATAGAAAGGTTTTATTGTCTTTAGCTGCCTCACTGAAAGCTGATGGGCTCTTCAACATCCACAAATAGTTTTTTGATTTGAATGTAGGTCTTTATATGTAGAAATATTTTTGCTTGTCACTGTTGCATAGCAATCCTGAGACCACAAAGGCCCCATCACATTACAAATACCATTTCCCATGAACATTGAAATCAATGAATACTCGAGAACATCGTGTACCTAAAACGCTCCAGTCAGTAACTTACCATTGGATGCTGTGAAATCTATCGCCACCGTGAAGTTCAGTTGTGTTCTGTTGCATATAAAGTGAGAAAAGAGAGCGTCACACACTTCAGTACACTTAATAGACGCGATTTCCAACACATGCACGCCGATGCAATGAACTGCGATCCAGTCAGTGCACTAGTTGACTGGCTAATTAGTATGTCAAGACATACTCTCTTCACCATCTTGAAGGTCTAATTGGGCTAAACAAATGAAACCAGTAATTAAAAGTGAATGAAATGAATAAATTAGGTATTTACAAATGAGTTTTACCAATAAAAACTCCCGCCCCCCTCCGCCCCTTTCAGAGCCAATACCAATTCAGTATGTTGCTCACAAAGAAAGCTTTTGGGAGATTCAATATACAGACACACACAAAGACACAAACAGCCAAAATGCTGGCTATCGGCGCGAGTGTGGGCTCATTATTATTCCACTCACCCTCCTCTGATGAAATCCACGAAGGTATACTCGGACTCCACTTTGAAGGACAGCAGAGTTACCTGGCAGACACACACACATGCCGACACACAAACACGCAGATAAACAGAGGAAGAAGGTGGGAGAGGGACCAGGGCCAGGTAGGCAGGAAGGCGAAACAGGTGGCCAGGCAGCAAGAAGAGTCAGCGAGAGAGAAGCAGATGTAAGAGGTGGTGATATTTAGACTATATAAATATATAAGACAACAAAAAAAATACCAATACAGAGGAAATGACAGGCAGATATGGGCGATGTGGGCGCACTCACAGTCCCGGAATTGATGTATTTCTTCTTTTTGCCTTTCTTCTTGGGATTCAAAACCTGCCGGCGATGGAGAGAGTAAGTTAGTGATAGAGAGGGTGCTTGTAAAGCCACTTTATACCCTGGGATGATGTTTAATAATGAACATGAATAATTCAGCAGATCCCTGATAATAGCGGCGGCGGCGGCGGCCCACGAATCCAAACTGGTGTTACGTTTAACCGCGTGTGTGTGTACACAAGAGAGAAAATCCATCCGTCCGTCATCATTACGAACCTGATTAGTAAACCGGCGCTCTGGTTTCAGATCTGAAGATTTGCAGGGACGTTTGTGATTTCTTTATTCATCGCAGCGATATCAATTTGTTAGTTCGGAACAAAGTATTCCTTTGTTAAGCAGATTTTAATAAGCTGGTGGTATAATGGAGTTTGCATTTCCAGAGTTGAATTGCTAATGGTTGATATGTGTATGTAAGCTGACTTTTTTTTTTTTTACAGCAAAAAGCTCTTGGCAGTGAATTATTCTTTCTTTTCTTCTCTGTCATATTGCAACCGAGCACTGAAGGCTCCCTATTACACAGTGAGGATTCAAAGGCTCTTTTAATTCTACAGTTGTGATAAAAACAAATATTTTTCTGGTGGCATGGTGATATTGTATTAATGCAGCAAGCTTTTTATTGTGTCTATATTTACAATGAATAACGGCTAAAAATGAATGTGAATACATAGAATCATAATTCAGTCCAAATTACTGCAAAACCTTTTTAAGCCAGCTGGTATTTTCTTTTGCAAAGTCTGCACTCCAGGACCTGATCATTTTGTTTCCATTCTCTCATGATGATTAAATAATAACAGCACAATAAGTCAATACATGCAATTAATTTTGGTCCGAGTTCTATACCATGACTTGATGGTGGAGGGTGCAGACAAAGTTACATGGTCCACAGTTGGACTACTTTTACATTTTTGATGGGCATGAAAGTCTTCTTGTTAAATCATCAGTGAAAAAGTTTGGCAACTCTGTTGGCACGAGTGGGCTGCAAAGTGGCTCGGTGGTTAGCATCAGCTAGAAGGTGGCTAGTTCGCGTCCCGGTGAGGACACCCGGGATCTTTCTGCGTGGAGTTTGCATGTTCTCCCCGTGCAGCGTGGGTTCTCTCCGGGTTTTCCAGCTTCCTCCCACACAGTCCAAAAATATGTTGAGGTTAATTGGTGATTCTAAATTGTCTGTAGGTGTGAATGTGAGTGTGCTTGGTTGTCTGTCTCTAAGTGTAGCCCTGTGATAGACTGGTGACCTGTCCAGGGTGTCAGCTGGGATGGGCTCCACCCATAGACCATATAAAAGATGGACGTAGCATTCGGCCCTGAAAAATGAAGCCAACCCGGAAGTGTCAAAAACCTGCAATATCACTACGTCCACTAGCTGCTGGCTCCAAAAAGCCCTGGCTCCCATAGACTTGAATTGGAAAAGAAGTGATCACAGATCATGAAATACTGCATTCCTACAGCTCAGGATTTTTTTCTTATTAGTTTTCATAGTCAAAGCAACGATGCAGACGAAGCGAGCAAAAGGCGGTAAATGTGGGCGGGAAGAGAGGGCCCGCCTCTCAATCCGTCTGACCAATCGCTGCTCCTATGGCTCCGCCCCCCTCTGACGATTTTTGCCTCACTGGCTCCAAAAATCCAAGATGTCAACCAGGAAGTAGCAAAACCCTGACTTCATTTTCTCAGTGCAGAAACCAACGGGTGACGTCACGGTAGCTACGTCCATCTTTTATACAGTCTATGGCTCCACCCCTCCCACGACCCTAGTGAGGATCAAGCAGTGTATAGATAATGGATGGATGTTAGCAAAGTATAAGCCTGTTTGGGTAAAAACCTCAAATTACACCTTAATTATGACTTGAAAGGTGCATTTTGGCAAAAATGATTCACCAACATTACACTTAGGCGGCAAGTGCCTTGAACAGCTAAGAGCGTCAATGTTGAAAAAACTGAAAACTCAATCTGCAATTTGGACACATGATTTGTGTTCAACTATAATAGTTTTGAGTTTGCTGCCACTCTTATTGTCAGCCGACAAGGCCAGTGGGTTGTGTTTACACCCTTCCGAAATGCTGAAATTACAGACAGAACATGTTTTCTCAGAGAAAAAGCTAAAATGAAAACTGGTGGTCGAAACACTAACCTATATGATGGTTACATGTTAATTATTTTAGCTAATTGTGGCTGCTAATGCGATTTTGACCCTTTTCTCTTTATACTGCAGGACAAACGCAGTACAAGTGTGTCTGAGCTGCTGATTACATTTTAAAGTCTAGTGGGAAACAGCACTGTTGGAGATATGACAGGTGCCAAGGACCTGCAGAGCTCTCATTCTTTTCTTTTTGAAAAACGGACATCTGCACAATGGCTGCTGTACCATTATAGTTCTATTACCATAATAATAACAAAATCACAAAAACGGACCAATGCAAGATCTTCCATTGTATGATGTTATTCTCCATATCTGTTTGAGAAACTATCCATTGAACTGCTGGTTGCATTTACATTCCATTAAAATGTTTTTTCACCTTGAGGGCATCTATATTTATTCGCCATTGGAGCCATCATCCAGTTTAGGAAAGGTTGTATAAGCTTTTTTGGAAGGGTTGCCGAGTTTCCAAGCTTTTGGAGAGTCAACCGAAGGAAGCTAAAGTATCAACATCACCTAAATTGGAGTGATAACAACATAAGATGAAAGCAGTGAGAAACAACAAAGCAGCCCCAGGTCGTGCCTCACCTCATAGACATTGAATTGGTTCTGCCCCCGAGACAGCTCTCTGTAGCTGGTGGTGAACTCGCCAATGAAGTCATGGCTGCAGACAAACAACACCCACACAGACAGGCGAGCATGAACACAAATTTCATAATCCGAGACCAATTGTTATGTCTTTCTTTCCACGTCTCTTTCTCCATCTTTATTCCTACCAGTCCCCTAGTATCTTGCACAAGTTGGCATAGCTGTTTTCCATCCATAGAATGTACATGAGGCATATCGTGTGAATCATTAGCCAACGGTTATTTGTAGATGCTTTTACCTTCCATCTCGATCCCAGTCATAGACGTCTACCTTCACCGTCCTGAAATAGACAGAGAGCATCTTATTTCTCAAGATCTGCTCTTAACCAGAGCATCTACTGTGGATAAAAAAAGAGAACCTGAACTTGTGTTTAATTAAAGAAAATAGAAAAAAAAAAAAAACCTTTTCACTCCACCATGCTGGGAGCAGATAGCGCAATTACATATTCACTCATTCAATAGCGTCACACTGAAGAGGATTATTGGCACAGTGGGTACAGGTCGTTATGTGAACTCTGTGCAGACGAGCTTCCAGTCGGTGAGGATGATCAATTTCACATGTGGGGGAGAAGTTTGCATGCATTACCGTGAATGTTTAATTCCTGCCTCATGTAAAGAGCAAGACAGACTGTATGCTGTAGGTCTGCGGTATATGAATAAGACTTTATTTGTTCAAAATGTCACGGGTTAATGGAAGCCATTAGCATATCTGTGATGGGAGTTGCTTTTGCACAAAACTCTAACTGCGAGGACTTACAACCCCTGATTTATCTCGTTTGGGGCGCAGGTGAATCACTTAGCGGGGCATTACGGGAGTTGAAAAATAGCATTTGTGGGGAAGTCGTTGGTGGCTACTTTACACAGTGTTTCCTAATGAGAAACCAACTGGCTAGCTTGTAAATGGCTGGTAAAAAGTGACAAATTTGAAAGGTGTGAACCTTGTGTTGTTTGCATTTGTTAAACCCGACTGTGCCTAGTTGTTTACAGTATAAACTGTATTTGTGGCTCATTTTTGAAGATGCCTGGTCTTAGAGACATAGGAACTTTGTGCTGTCCACCAGCTTTGGAGTACCAAAAGAACAAGTACGAAAAAATAGATCATAATGCCAACATTACTCCTTAAATAAATAGACTGACATCCTATGATTTATACACAGTCAGAGGTAAGTTGAGGGTTTGCTGTGCAGTGCAATCCATTGTCTTTGTCTGTAAAATGTGGAGCCAGGAGATATCCAAGCATAAAGACTGGAAACAATGGTAAAAAGCTGCCCTGGCTTTGTCCAAAGATGTAAAAGATTTGTCCAGATATTTAACAGTGATACAAGAGTAGTATTATGGGGTTGTGTATGGTTCAACCCCATGTCAGCTGATTCTGTGTGCAATATGGGTCGATCTTTACTAACGTTCTAAACATGGGCCGCCATTCGTCAGTCTTATTGTGAGTAGGGTGTAAATGCTGGGCACAAAGAAGTCATTGTCATGTTTTGTGTGGTGGTCTCTACCTTCCATGCACTTTTAAGGCCAGACACAATAATGGTTTTGATCAGTGTCCAACAGTCCCACATGAAAGCCTCCAGCATACATCACTAGACCTCGCAGGTGCATCTGCTGTTTTAAAGTGGTGTAAGTCTAAAAGGATTACAAATTCACAAAAACTTATAAAGGGATAAGAGGAGGATAATAGTTCCCATTACTGAGATAGTGGCACGGTGCGCTTCTGTATGCAGTTCTGTATGTACCTGACAGCAAGTGGCTATTACAGATGCTCATGGTCCAGCCTTACTTATATTTATATATTTATATATATAAAACATAGTGCGTGCTAGAACTGAGTCAGTCTAAATAACACCAGTGCTGGTCCCTGGGATACCATGACCGACTGCTGGCATTATTCTGACCGCCCCAGCAACAGCTGCTTCTTAAGTGTTTCTTTCTTCATTTTATCAGAGATAATTTCTCAACAAGCGCGCTGTGTGTGCCATGTAGTTTTATGTGTAGGTTTTTAAAAAAAATAATGATTAAATACTTGAATTCACTCTCTAGTTGAATGCACAAAAGAATGGTACAACATGTGTTCTGACCTGTCGTAGTCACCATTGCAGAGAGCTCTGACGGGTATAGTGAAGGGCTGCCACACCGGGTTCAGTGTGTTCTTAATCACCTCCGTCTTATGGCAGATGGTGAACCTGCCAGCAAAAAAAACACCAGACATGAAGAACCCAAAGGGAGAACACATTCACATTGTACCAGCGGAGATAATCCAACCTCGCTTATCTCCCTCTGCAATTCTGCAAAATGCTTTGTGGGTTGTTGTTGTGTCTTTTTATATCTGCTTAAGTATATCTGGGGGACATGACAAAATTCCAGGTGGAGCTTTATTGCTACAAACATCCCTTCGAGGCACAACAGTGGAAGGAAGTAATAATGTAAAATGATGATAGGGGCCTCGATTTATGGAGCCACTCGATCCAAAAACAAACAAACAAACAAAAAAAACCCCAAAACATGCAGCGTAGTTAATTTGTATGGAATAGAAGTAAAATGAGAACCATATGTGAACGCTGGTATCACTGAGTATATGTATAGCCTTCCCCTCCAACAAAACACCTTTCTAAATGTTTCCTGTTCCAACACAATGCCTGCACTCTGCTCTCGATTTTCTGCAGCGTCCCGCTTTACAATCAGAGTGTGCTTTCTACTTCACAGCACCAATGTATCTGCTGAGGGTTCGGTGCTTCGATCAGCATTGCCTTAAAGTAACGGTGGCACTTGAGGATAAGTGCTGGAAGTGATTTGTAGCAACAGCAATTCCCACAGCTGAGCATACTGATGTGAGTTAGATTTTGTAATAAAAGGATGCGCTGGTTATATTTGGGAAGCTTTCCTGCGTTGTTGGGGTTTTGAAGATGGGGATGTTTAATTTGTATGCGCTGTACTCAGTCGGGGTATTCTTTTTGAAAATGACCTCAAGGAGAGGAGCAGACAATACATCACGTGCACATATTAATAACCTTTCATTGTCTTGGCTGTTAGCGGTGTAATGCTATGCTAGTATCTGTATCCGTGCATTTCTGTAGTTGTATTGGTTGTTAATACTAGAAGTTGATTTATACATATTTATATATTGCTCATGACATATATAAAATAGCCAAATAGCTATCTCAGAGAAGATGCCACTGCTATAGTGGTATTGTATTGTAGCAGTTGTCAGCAAATTCATTCAAGGTAAAAAAAAAAAAACAACTTAATACCATAGACTGTATGAAAGATGGACGTAGCAACCGGCCCTGAAAAATGAAGCCAACCTGGAAGTGTCAAAAACCTACGTCCACTAGCTGCTGGCTCCATAAAGCCCTGGCTCCCATAGACTTGCATTGGAAAAGAAGTGATCACAGATCATGAAATACTGCATTCCTCCAGCTCAGGATTTTTTTCTTATTAGTTTTCATAGTCAAGTCCAGAGATCAGGTGGCCAATCTGAAAATAAATCAATACAGAATTTTTAAAAAATCATCAACATTTTGCGGGGCAAGGGGCGTGGCTGGCTTGATTGACAGTCGGCAGCGACGATGCAGACGAAGCGAGCAGAAGGTGGTAAATGTGGGCGGGCAGAGAGGCCCCGCCTCTCAATCCGTCTGACCAATCGCTGCTCCTATGGCTCCGCCCCCCTCCGTCGATTTTTGCGTCACTGTCTCCAAAAATCCAAGATGTCAACCAGGAAGTAGCAAAACCCTGGCTTCATTTTCTCAGTGCAGAAACCAACGGGTGACGTCACGGTAGCTACATCCATCTTTTATACAGTCTATTCATTGTAGGGTTTCTTTAAAAATGTGAAAGCCGACTGTGTGCACCCTTTTGAGAGAGTCCCTTACATCAGGCTTTGATCTGTTCCTACCTGAATAATGTACGTACAGTACCTACCAGAAGTCCATGAAGGTTTGTACACATTAGGTATAACAGTCGCTGGTTTAATGTTAAAGACATGAATATTTGAGCCCACCCCCGACGACCACACTCACGTTCCATCCTCATTACTGCGGTAGAAAACCAGGAATGGGTCGGACTTGCCAAAAAAGTCTTTCTTATCCAGCTTGTTGGCACACAACTGCATGGTGGCAATATCCTGTCACAGAAGACAAGCAGTTTTCATTAGACTTTTTCTGATGCAATATCATTTCTAAGTCAGTAACTTGTTTCCTGCAGGAACTTTCTCGGCAACAAATAAATTACAGCTCACGCAGGAATTGTGCGCAACGGTTTTGAAGCATCCCAGTGAATTTGAAGTATTTGGCAGCATAAAAACTCATGGTGACGCAAACGTGGATCAGAATGCTAAGCAGCGGTCCACAAGCAGTTTGTACACTTTAATAACCCGTGCATGCATACAGATCACACTGATTGCAGTCCGTTGTTTCATTTGAATTACACATTTTATTAGTCGGGGAAACTTATTTTATCATGGGATGTCTGCAATATACTCAGCGAGGCAGAGGGAGCACTTCATACATATGTATTAACGGTAACAGCAGTTAATGAGGAGCTGTCTAATTCCTGCTTCTGTGTTGAGACGCTCAGGACAAGAGAGGCAGGACCGAGGGAAGGAAGGATGGACGGATAGATATTTAGATAATGAGGTTTTTTTAGTCATTTTCTCCTGTGGGAAGGCATCATGGGAAACCTAAACTTGCCATTGACAGATAGAGGTTGTCAGCCTTACGCACACACACACACACACACGCACACACACACACGCGCGCGCGCACAGAGCTACACAACACACTTATCAAAATTCCTAAAGAGCATTCGGATCTTGTCAGGAGCGAAAACCTCCCAAAGTAACGATGGTAAATACAACCAAGATAAGCCTGTTCACATAATGGTCTCTGGAGCACACACACACACACACACACACACACACACAGAGGATATTCTGTTAGTATCTGACTGCCTGGTTGGTATTAATATATTATAGTGGCAGGGGAATGGCCAAACTGGAGGAGAAAATCACTCCGTTCATGGCAGGAAACCATCTTGACAGTTAATCTCAGACACATTTAGAGAACTGTGGAGAGGCCCGGCTGACAAAACATCAAGTGTTTGTCGGCACGGAACACTTAAAAACTAAACTTGAAGGTGGTGTGTGTGTGTGGGGGGCACGCATGGGAATACAGGGGCTAATAAAAGAAAGTGCATACATTGTTGTAATGACGGGCAGTGTTTTGGATGGCGTGCATGCATGCATAGTGCGTACTGACCCTGCAGTTACTGAGCTCCTCTGCAGCAAAGATAATGACTCCACACTTCTTCCCTGGAATCCCACTGAGAGCGAAGGATAGGGGAGGAAGAGACAGAGGGAAAGAGTGCAAAGTAGGATAATTGTAGCACAGCATAAATAATACAAGCACCAAGCAGATGTCATTCATACCCGTAAGCTGTTATTGTGCTAGGTGACAGTGCCGTATGCAGATCCGTAGTTTTCCGGAAAAGCCTGCACAGGGACCTGCGAGCCATTTCTAAAAATGGCTACAAGTGGCAATTAGCTGACATTAACAAAAGTAAGTTGCTTGTCACTCAAGAGCAGCTAACGCCGTAGCTTTAAAATCTCTGAGTGCATCGAAAACAAAGTTAGATAAGACCCTTCTCATTCCGCGTTCTCGTCGACATAACAACCCAAGAACTGTTCCGATTCAAAGACCACTTGCAGATCAAATCACCTGAAGTGTTTGTGCGCTGTGCCCGTTTTATTAAGGATACTTCAGGAGCTGACTGGTGTGGACTTGGAAATGCATTTCATGTCAAACAGCACCGACGGTTGAGACTTTGAGCGATAATAACGCTGCTAGAATTTTCAACCTTTGACTGTTGATATGTCAGTTTATGAAGTTTTGGGATTCTTTTTTCCCACATTAGCCAAATCATTTCCTTTTCTTTTCGCTATCATCGACAGTTGTACCCCAGAAAGTCGCTCACTCAGATATCCAGAACTTTTTGAAATGGAATATTTTCAACAGAAAGATTTTTAAAAATGGGGTCACAGTTTAAATATTATAATAATAGTCAATAACTGGACTGTATGTCCTCTTATTGTGACTTGAGTGGTTCAAAATCTGTCTAAAGAAAGACCTACAACCATTACTTAAAGTGATGTTTTTTTTGTCAACAAAGTTATGTTCACAACTATTTCTCATCAAAATTCCCTGCGTCGGCATTTCAATCTTGCATCCTGCATACGTGCTCCATGCTGTTGTGCATGTGGACTCACTTACCAAGTTCAAACCCAGATGTAGTGCAGATATGAGACTTTTTTTTAAATTACTAAAGCATAAAATGTGAATTTCAAGTTATGCACAGTGAATATTGTCAGAATGTTACAGTACTATTTGACATCATTTGTCATGGGCTCCATTCACACGAAGCCAAAGCTCAGATTGAGAACACCGTCAAGAACAAAAATAAATGAATGAATGGGTGAATTAACTACAGAGACAAAAACTCATCATACCAGGCTGTGAACATGTTCGTTTCTGCTGTAAAGTTGAACATTTTAACACGGGGGCCAATGGGGACAGAAACGCTTTTGGAATCAGCCTTAAGTGGACATTTGAGGAACGGCATCGTTTGGCATTTCTGTACTGGCTTCATATTTCATCCCTGGAGGTTACCTCTTGCAAATAACCTGAAACTACTTGGTAATCAATTAACAGTTTCAGTCATTTTTAAAGCAAATAAAAGGCTGCTGTTGTCTTCTTTCAACCCCTAAAATTAGCTTCCTTTCTTTGCAACATATCACTGAAAATAGAATATTTTGGGGGTTTGGACAAAACCGTGTTTAAGGTGGACACGTTCAGCTCCTTGAACATGTGATGGCATTACTTGGAAAATTCTTTGGAAACAACTCTGGAAGTAATTCTTAACTGATGTTGTGATTATTTACTATTTCCTTATTAAGTAATTGTTTAGGGTGGATATGATTCAGACCTGCTGTGCTAACATTTCAATTGGGTTACCAGAATGTGACATTGTCATGTGATATCATACATTAGCTTTCAATTATGCTGCCTAGTAATGACTTAGGATCTGATTTTTAGGATCCCTAAAAGTGGCCACTGCTCGTCCAAAACCCAAACAATACACTGGTCGAGTTTGAAGACGATCATATGTACGGTTATGAAGAAATACAAAGAAGACAGGCCCACAGATTTCCTTCTTTTTAGAGTTTACTCTCAGTGTAAAGCCCTCACAAATATCCACGTTTAAGAAGTGCCAGATGATTTTTTTTTTTTTGCTTCAATCAGCAATTGGTTGCAATTTCATTTTCTGTCAACAGACTAATCAACTTATTTCAACTCAAGAGTGCCGGTTAGTTTCCTGTGTTTCTTGGGAAGTGATGACTGTGGCATCAACAATAAAATAGCCTTTATTAATGTTGTTGGTAACAACTGTGCTTTTTCTGCTCAAACTAAGTGATGTGTTGGTCTCACTGGTGTCCACGTGCGCCAAACACAAGCAGCCCGAAGCACCTCCAAAGTGCTATTAGCTGTCAAAAACTCCACGGGGGGCTTTTAATGGCACATAATAGCAGATGACAGAAGCAATTAAAGCAATTAAATATTTGCTCAAATGATTGAAGTAGGTTTGACTTTCTGTTGGTTTCTGTTGAATGCAAAGGCTTTGCACTAAATGGCAATACAAATAGGGATCTAATAAAGGTCTGTGTAAAAGTGTAAACAGCTTAAAAGTAGACGTCAGTTGAATGGCTCAAATACAAAGCGCAGGTGTGCACATGTATGCGTTCCTCTACGTCTTGCCTTGAATCTTTTTTTTTTCTCTCTATAGTGTGTTTAAGGCTTGTAGAAGTCGTTTCTTCCCTTTCTTTTGTTTCTCTCACGTCTAACTCACGTTAAATGTAAAGTCTTGAGACTGAAGTGACTGCAGTGAAAAGCTAATTCACTGAACTGTCACAAAAAGAAACTGAACAAAAGAAGAAGAAGAAAAAAAAAACGGTTGACGTCTATTGAAGAGGAAGTCTCTGAGAACGGGAACAGAATGGGAGTGAGAAGAGACAAATGAAGGCTAACTTTGCGACGTTCGGGGCACCGAAGGGCCAAGCGTGACTGCTGCTTCATTATAATTTTTAAAAGAGCTGAAAGAGGAGGAGGGGTGAGCGGGGTACGCATGAAGACGGAAAAAGGGGTTAAAAGCAAGATGAGCGAAGGGTAAAAGGAGGAAGGACAGCCTGATGAGTCATTTTCAACTGACTTATCTTCGCATCAGTTGGCAAATTGAGGTTAAACAGCCTAATTTTCATAAATTTGATCATTCTGATACGTCAATAATAACATTCACGTGCTAAATGGGTTTACATTGCAACAGGTCTTGGGAAAATGCCTGGAAACAAGCAACAGGAGCCTCCTCTGTCTGTTTCTGACACTTGTTGTGATGCTTTCATGTGTTGACTGGACGCTCTGACATCTGGGATCTAAGCAACATGCATCAAAGACTGAGAATGTTGATTGTGACTCATAATTACAATCAAAAAGAAGCTCAAAGCTACTTTCATCACTTTATCTTAATAGTTCCATACAAAAAAAAAAAAAAAGTAATTGTGTCATTGCTATTTAATAGTCTTCTTATATGTGAAACATGGATTGGACTGGGGATGAAAATCAGCCCAAAGTAATTTAGCACAGAGCAGAAATTTGATTTCTTAAGGTCCCATATTGTGCCCCTTTCCAGCAGATTAATCGAAGTCTTACGTGTCCCCAGAATGTGTCTTTTAATTTTTCAGCTCAGCATACTGCAAAGATGGTTCATTTCACCATGACTGTATAACTGTTGGTCTTTGCTCTGTTACCAACCGGCTGTTTCTGTGCCTACAGCTTTACTGGTCCTGTGCTCGCACCCTTCAGGAAGAAGACATCTATGATTGACAACTTGGAGCAAATCAGGTGACCACATGGCAGCCGGCATATACAAATGAGAGTGTGAGACCAGGACTTTCTGTTGCTTTGAACTTTCTGTGTGAGCGGACACTTTGTGGAAATAGTGAACAGCACAGCTGTTGTTTTTACTGCATTTGGTAGCTACATGGTGCAGAGCAGCAGCTTGGAAGTGACTGCTCCCAATTTTATACTCATTCTGGCAACAGAAACCGAAAAATCTGTAAATGACAGCAGCTGTATTAGAAATTAGGCTGTATTAAGTTATAGTATATGTGAGCACAGCGAGCAGGAGAGAAGCAAACAGGTGGAAAGGAGATGACAGCACCTGAGTTTAGTTTGCAATGACGCACATCTTTTGTACCTTTCAGCCAAGTTAAATTCACAAACTGGTCGATTATGAAACTGAACTCTTCTGTATTCCAAAAGTGCTGGTTTTGTTGACTGGGTACAACGCCTGAAGTTATGCTTAAAAAGAGAATGCTGGTTTATTTTAACCAGGAGCGTTTTCCAAATCATGTGACTAGTGTGGCTCACTGTGAGTGTTAACTTCTGAAGCATTTTAAATGTTTTTTCAGTTGGACCAAAGTAAAACACAGTAATTAGCTGCCTGGAAGGAGCACTTTCCCAACTACATTACAGAATGCCTTTTGGGGAATATTTATAAGCTGACCCAGTCACACTGCTGCGTTGAAAAGTAGGAGGAAAACTGTTGGTGTAAAGAATAGGACCTGCTAATACTAGTCCTTGACTATCTCCATGTATCCGCAGATTAGAGTAACCCCGGCTGTGGAACTACAACCAGTGCACTTTTGGCAAACAGTGTTGTCCCGCAGATGGTGTTTCACAAAATCAATGGGGAATAAAGACCAGGGACGGAACGCTCTCCACACAAAAGCTAATACAGTTAAAGAAATGCCGCTAATTTCTGTCTTTACTTTCAGTCAGACTCCCCCCCACTTAATGCTGTTCACAAGCTGTTCTGTGTGACTCCTCATTTCCCTGAATCTCTACAGCAGAGCTGAAGAGTGCAACATTGGCATAAAGGAGCCACAATAGTCCACGGCAGGGAGGCAAAAGAAAAAAAAAAAAACTAGACCCATTTGTATGTTTGAGAAGTATATCAAGAGGCATCCTTTGTTTCAGCAGCTCCAGTGACAGCTACACTTAAACTGTGTGGTGCGGCCACAGCGTGTCTGGGACCTAATATCAATACTCCATTTTCAGATCCTCTTCCTTCTTACACACACTTCTGTGAAAGAGAAACATTTGCTGTGAGCTTACGTCTGCAGTGCACATTACACGAGAACTAAATAGCGCTACAGATGCCATCGTTGTGTTGAATTGTAATTCAGTTCAGCTCCATTTGAATAATGGTTT